TACTAGAGTTTTTGTATGCAGTTTATTACGACCAACTACTGTGGACTTATGATTTATAATTTATGGCTTTTCTTCTCCTCATCTTTACTGTGTTCTAATATTGTGTCAAAGGAGTTGAAGGACTTTGTACCGAGTCACTGCTTCCCCATTTGGACTTTATCTGGCACAGGACGGAGAGAATGTACCGCCCTCATTTCTGACCAGGATGTACATTTTGGCAAGCAAACAGTTTTATGTAGCCACAAGTTTGGCAACAGTGGATTTCAGTCTTTGGCCTTGAGGGTGACAGTGTGCTAACATTTTTTATCTGACCTGTGTCTTTCCGTTTCTTTCTCCGTGGAGCATGACAACGAGCATTGTTGACAATTTAGGGGCCGTTAAACTACAATACTGGTATGTTTTGTATGTTTGGGAGAGATGTAGCAAGACTGCTCAGAACCCTGAGCTGGTGCTGTTTGTTGGGCCTCTCGCTTACCAGATGGCTTCAGATGGACCTGAGGTGCAGGGGTTGTCGTACGTTGTCGCAGTTGTGTGTGTTAGGGTGTCTGTTTACTCAACAGGGTGTTAACGTCAGTCAAGTAAATTAATGTTTATCCTCACATGTGTCAAGAGAGACGCATCCGAGTGTGTGCACCACTTTGCTTTGCCATCATCCCTTCACTGTCCTCAAACACAAACGCACAGACACACACACATACAAAGATGAACGCGTCCTGACTCAGTCTTTATTGAGCCACGTTAGTGAATATACCCACCAGCTGGCCAGTGCAACCACAGCACAGCTCTACGGTAGTTTTCCATGTGTGTGTTGGAGGGCAGAAGGTGTGTAGGGTTGCTGAGTTTCTCGTGCCTTCCATTGTAATATCTATGGTGGGCGGTGTGACAGCGTCACCACTGCTTCCTGTGCGCAATGCTGCACACACACGGTCAAACAGAGACAAGATGATTTTAGCGACTACGTAGAACAACGCGGCGCACAAAGAGAGAGTAGCATCACAATACATCCACTAATAACATGCTGCACTCAGGGTCGTCCCCTCTCTCCGGTTCTGGCTGAGTCCTTTGGGGGGAGGTTTGTGGCCACTTTCTCAGCTCTCCCTCGGGAGTCTGTTCCAGCTGCTGCAGCTCCACACAGTCCCAAACCTCCGCCCGACTTCACTGACCACGGCTGCAGCCTGTGCGCTGACATCACTGCCCGTGCGTCCAAGCACAGGAAGCTCAGACCACCAGATACGCACTCTTTCAGAGGCGTCACAGCCAAGGCCGCTGACACACAGGCATGCTGATGTTGTAGTTCCCAGGGCCTCTGGGTTGTAGTTCTCAGGGTAAGGGCAACATGGGTATAAGATACTGATATAAAACCCAGTTAACACTTGATTAATAAGGCAGTTTACACAGGAATAGTCTGCAAAAATGTGTGTACAACTCTCTCCTTCTTTTTAATTTCTTTCATATTAGATTTCAAAGTTTTTTGCACATTTATCGCACTTAAATGTTTCAGATAATTAAAGATGATGCAACTAATGCAACTTTGGGGTTTGTTTAAGAACTGTTTGTTTAAAGTCACGACATTTCAATCTGGATTAAGTCCAAACATTGACTACGCCATTTCATTTTGCTTTTTGAATCATTCAGAGGTGGATTTGCTTGAGTTTTTGGATCATTGTCCTCGTGGATAACTTGACTGCACCACTGGTTTGATGCCCTTTTTATAAAATCCTGTGAAAGATGTGCACTAGATGTGACGGGACTCAGACTTTCCAAAAAGTTCAACCTCTGTCTCATCCATCCACAGAATATTTTTTAGCAAATATGAGCCTGTGTGATCTTTTTGGTTAGCAGTGGTTTTTGCTTTGGAACTCTCTCCTGTGGATGCCATTTTTGCTCAGTTTCTTTCTTATTGTTGAATCATAAACTTTGACCTTAACTGAGACAAGTCAGGCCTGCAGTTCTTTAGATGTTGCTCTGTGTTTGTTTGTGACCTTCTGGTTGAGTCATCCATGCACTCTTGGAGTAATTTTGGTAGGTCGGCCACTCCTGGGAAGCTTCACCACTGTTCCACGTTTTCTCCATTTGTGGATTATGACTCTCACTATGGTTCACTGGAGTCCAAAAGCCGTAGAAATGTCTTTGTAGCACTTTCCAGATCGATAGATGTCAAGGACTTTGCTTCTCATTTGTTCTTGAGTTACTTTAGATGGTGGCAAAATGCGTTGCTTTTTGAGATCAGGTCTGCAGTAATTATGCCTGGATTTCCCTTTTTCCTTCACTAAATGAAAGTTTTCAAAACGGCATTTTTCCATTTGCTCACCTTATCCTTATGTCATTTTAAAATTGTTTGATGATCCGAAACATGTTAGTGTGACTAATATGCAAAAAACTAAGAAATCCACAAATTTGATCCTTAAATATTTAACCTCAATACTTGTTTTGATTATCAGGTAAAATGCATACATTGCATAGTGACAACTGAGACTCACTGATAGTTCAGGTGAAATGCTTGATTAAATGAAGCACATGTTAATTACCAGCTGAGGAACCCTGCTTCATGTTGTCTTATCACAACAAAATGTGACACTTACTGTACTACAAAGGTGGTTTCAAATACTTTGACAGCTGTTTCCGTATCTTTAGACAGCTCTTATCAGTGAAGTAAGAACTGTGTACGACACCAAAGAGTCAGAAATGTAGATGGGTGCAGACTGAGCACTGAGTACAACTGATGACTACTGCGTAGTCACGGCCTTAAAGGCCAACATGTCAGTGAGTGTTGCCTCTAGTGTGATCCCATCGCTGTTTCCATTATCAGCGCCAAAACTCAAGTGTGGCATTAATGCCATTTTCTATAGTATTTGATACAGCAAGCCTTCCCAGATGATATTTTCACATGGTGTGAGGTTATTGTACTGAAAGGTCGGAATATTCATTGACGCTTTGGAGGCATATTGTAGCATGCAGGCATATTTCCTGTCAGTCTGGCTCCTGGCACACGTGTTTTCCACATGGAAAGATACAAATATTTGTGTGTAGGTGGAACGCTGAGCGTGGGAGTATTCGTGGAAAGGAATTATAATATTGTTCTTTTAATATCTGAGTAACTCTGACTTTTACAGAGTTGTTGATTTATTTAATGTAATATAAATGTAGAACATTGTAAGATAGACAGATAACGTATCTTTATATTTTCCCAAAGTTGTGAAATCCCTTACTTTGTAATGAAATTCAAAGAAAAAAAGAAAAAGTTTGTAGTTATGCATCTATAAAACAAACCTGTCTTTTCAAACAAAGGAACTTGATCTTTATCTACAAAGTGTGTAGCATTCAGCAAGTTTATTCTTCCCTGGTAATGCTTCTGATGTCTTCCATTCACCCAGCACTGTTACCCATTCTCCTCCACATTCCTTGCACACTCAAGCCAGGCGCTGGTTTCCACTCTTCTCTGGAGGTGAACACCCTCAGTTATCACGTTCATAATGAGCAGAAATCAGCAGAAAAGAGAAAAAATAATCTTCTGAAACATATTGACGAGGCACAATGGAGGGATTGAGGGAAGAGCCGGAGGGGTGGAGGGGGGCAGGTTGCCATATATCAGGCCTGGTTGAATCTCAGCATTGATCTCATGAATAATAGAGCTTCACTGTCCATGTGATGATATTAGATGTGTGATGGCATGCCACACATGGTAAGCTCCACACCTCATCACCCGTTGATTCACTTTAGTTTAATTTACAGTCACTACTTTAAAATATTCTATTTATTGTTCAATATCGTTTCTTTATTAAATGTATTCATTTTTCCATCACACCTTCCAATGTTTATATGGCGTGCACACATATTAACCTTGCAAGGTCAAAGTTCTGTTTTATGTTATATTAATACATCTTTCTTTGTTTGAGTTACCTGGGGGTTGGTGTCTCCTCCTGTCTGGCAAAAGGTGTGGCAAAGGGCTGGGAGACCTGAAGTACTGCTAACAGCCTAATTGGATTGCACCACATGCTTCATTGCCTGGGGGGTGTTTCATGTTTGTTTAAATGTTTTGTATTAGTTGGTTATATGGCAGCCATCTTGTTTTCCCCCGTGTGTGTCATTTGGTTTAGCTAAACCAGTATTTAAGTCCCCCTGTGTGTCATTTCAGCAGGTCAGTTTACCATATGTTTGTTTGAGGTTTTGTTAATTATTATCTTGAGTTTAGTCTGTTGAGTTGACCTCTTTTATTGGTCTGCCTGTTTAAGTTTTGGCTTTGTTAAATATATTTTCATATTTTTGGGTCAATAAAACCCGTTTTTTGAATTAAAACCACCGGTGTCCTTTATGCTTTACTGCTTGGTCCCTGACAATTGGTGGCAGCAGTGGGATCATCCAGTATTGGACACAGGTCTTTTTTCTTTTTTTCTTTCTTCTGTTTTTCCCCATGAGGAGGAAGAATGCATCGTGGTGGCAAGAATGAAAAGAAAAAGGGATCTGCTCAGCAAACCTGTGAAGAGGAGGAAAATGGAGCCTCAGGAGTCACTGAAGTTGTGGAGAGAGTTGAAAAGGAGCCTACTTTGTCTGATCTAGTCAATATGCTACATGCTCACATGGAACAACAGGACATCCGGGATGCAAAACAGAGTGAGTTAAATGCACGACAAGAACAGCGATTTAAAGCCTTTCAACATCAGTTTAGACTTTTGCAGTCAGGAATCCAAGTCAGAACATCACCATCAGATTCTGCAGAAGCTCGCTCTGAATCATTAGAGTTTGATATTCATCCTTCTTCCTCTGTTCAGCAGGCCCAGGCTGAACCAGTTATGACTAATTCCAATCCAGCCATTTCACCAGCATTTCAGTTTCCCCTACAAATAGAGGGCAGATTGGAAAGATTAACTGAAGCTGATGATATTGAACATTTCCTGATCACATTTGAACGTATGGCTACAGCTTATCGATGGCAGAAGTCAGATTGGGTTTTTCATTTGATACCCTTGCTTACTGGTAAAGCTAGAGGTGCCTATGTTCACATGGACATTGATGATTCATTAGACTATGATAAAGTGAAATCAGCTATTCTGTCAAAATATGACATTAACCCTGAAACATATAGGCAAAGATTCAGATCCCTGGACGTTCAACCAGATGAAAGCCCTCGTGAGCTATATGCGAGACTGAAGGAGCTTTATGGGAAATGGATCCAGCCAAAGGGTAAAACTATTCATGACATTGGTGAAACTATAATCTTGGAGCAGTTCCTCAGAATGTTATCTCCTGAGCTTCAGGTTTGGATCAGAGAACACAACCCTGGTTCAGCAATGGAAGCGGCTCGGTTAGCTGATGTTTTTGTTGCTGCCAGAAAGAAGGGGCAAGCATGGAGCCATAATGCATGGAAGGTATCGAGGGACACCCGGAAGATACCTCAGCAAAACCATCTGGATTCAGCAAATACAAGCACCAGTAAGAGCTCTCAGTCTACCACTAGACCACCAAAGGCCTCTGGTAAGAAGCTCATTTGTTATCTTTGTGGATTAGAGGGCCATACAAAACCTATGTGCCCAAGAAATTCTGCTAAAATGGTGCAAATGTGTTTTGCTCCTCGTTCTAATGCTGATCCTGAGCAGGAGAGTGACAAATCCATCAAAATGAGCCAGATTGAAGTGAATGGGGTTCTACTCAATGCCCTTCTTGACTCTGGCAGTTCTCGGTCTCTTATTCACTCAGATTTTGCCCCACCTAATATTGTTCGCACCAGTGATACAATTTCAATCTGTTGTGTCCATGGAGATGAGAAAAGATATCCGACAGCTGACATCTACATTAAAGTTCAGGACCAGATGTATCTGCTGAATGTGGGTGTTGTGAACAGTTTGCCTTACTCTGCCGTGTTAGGGCGTGACCTTCCTGTGCTTTTTGATTTGTTGGAGTCTGAGCAGACTGAGGAGTGCAATGTAGCTGTTACCAGAGCTCAGGCTAAGCAAGTCAGTACCCACTCTGAGACCCTGAGTGCCCTGCCTTTTTTTTAATGAGGAGTTTGAGACAACTGTGGTGAAGCCACGGAAGACCCGCAGACAAAGAAGGCAGAAATTCAAATTTTCACCTGTGGATACACTAACAGATGCTGAGCCAACACCGTCACCCCTAGGGTTTAATATTCCAACTGAAATTGCTGAACTCCAAAAATCTGATCAATCTTTAATATCTCTTTTCCGGAAGGCCAAAGAAAAGGAACCTGGAGTGGAGCAGGTTAACAGTGAGTACATCTTGCAAAATGACATTCTCTATCGTCAGCAGGGGTCGGTGCTGCAGCTGGTGGTTCCCCAGAAGGTTAGAAACGCCATTCTCACCTTAGGGCATTCTATTCCGTGGGCTGGCCACCTTGGTAAACACAAGACCACAGCTCGCATCAAACATCATTTCTACTGGCCTGGTCTTAGCAAAGATGTGGCTCAGTTTTGTAAAAGTTGCCCACAGTGTCAGATAACATCTGCTAAAATCCCCCATAGAGCTCCACTCCAACCTCTCCCTGTCATCGGCACTCCTTTTGAGCGTCTTGGAATGGATATTGTAGGGCCTGTTGAGAGGAGCAAAGCAGGAAATCGTTACATGCTTGTTGTAACAGATTATGCCACAAAATATCCTGAGGTGTTCCCTTTAAAATCTATAAAGGCCAAGCCCATTGCATTTTGTTTAGTGCAGTTCTTTGCAAGAGTTGGGTTTCCACGAGAAATACTAACTGATCAAGGCACTAACTTCATGTCTACTCTGTTAAAGCAAGTTTATCAGTTGTTGGGCATCCGGAGTCTGAGAACTTCACCATACCACCCTCAAACTGATGGGCTGACAGAAGGGTTTAACCAGACATTGAAACAGATGCTCAGGAAGTTTGTCAACGACAGTGGTAACGATTGGGATCAATGGCTGCCATATCTACTCTTTGCTTATAGAGAAGTCCCCAAGCCTCCACAGGTTTTTCACCTTTTGAGCTGTTGTATGGTTATGAGGTTCGTGGCCCTCTAACTCTGTTAAAGGAGATTTGGGAGGGAGACAAGGTGGAGGGGGATCCAAGAACATTTTGTCTTATGTCATTCAGATGAGAGAACGGTTGGAGAAAATGGGTGAACTTGCTCAATCACATATGGTGGAGGCCCAGCAGCAGCAGAAGTCTTGGTATGATAAATCTGCTCGTCAGCGTGCGTTTGAGCCAGGACAAAAGGTGCTCGTGCTCCTCCCCAGTGCCAACAACAAATTGTTGGCAAAGTGGCAGGGGCCATTTGAAGTCATGAGGAAGCTGGGACCCACCACATATGAGGTGTCCACCCCAGGGCAGTTGCGCTCCAGCAAGGTCTTGCATATAAACCTTCTGAAGGAGTGGGTGGAGCGTATTGAACACAAGGCGGATGCAATGCTCATACGGCGAGTGCCTGAAGAAGATGAAGCAGATGAGCAATATCTACCACCTGCTGGCTCTCTAGATTATGATCTCAGCCATCTCCCAGAGGACAAGCAGCAGCAGGTGAGAGAAATGTGTAAATCAGCAGTCTTTCAAGAGAATCCAGGGAGAACTGACATTGTCGAACATGATATTGTGGTACGAGAAGGTGCCTCTGTGAGACGATTAAGTTACAGGATCCCAGAACGTCTGCTGCCTTCATTGAAGAAGGAAATCGATTTGATGCTATCTCTAGGGATCATTGAAAGATCTAAGAGTGAATGGTGCAACCCTGTGGTCTTGGTACCCAAAAAGGATGAGAGTATGAGGTTCTGCATTGATTTCAGGTACCTGAACTCCATATCCATGTTTGACTCCTACCCGACACCAAGAATTGATGATCTACTTGAACGTCTGGGAAAAGCAAGGTACCTGACCACAATAGATCTGTGTAAGGGTTACTGGCAGGTCCCACTCACTCAACGGTCCAGAGAGTTCACAGCATTCAGAACACCATGGGGGCTTTTCCAATTTACAGTCTTGCCATTTGGACTACATGGAGCTCCAGCAACTTTCCAACGGCTGATGGATCAGGTATTACATGACTGCTCTGACTTTGCTGCTTACTTGGATGATATTGTTATCCACAGCAACACCTGGGAGGAGCATGTGGAACACCTGCGAACTGTTCTGGACCACCTGCACTCAGCTGGGTTGACGGTGAATCCGTCAAAGTGTGTTTTCGCCGCTGCTGAGACAGAATACCTGGGCCATGTCATCGGCAAGGGGGTTATCAGGCCACAAGTCAGCAAAATCGAGGCCATGGAATCATCCCCCCTGCCCCAAACAAGGAAGCAGCTGAGATCCTTTTTGGGCATGGCAGGTTTCTACCGTCGTTTCATCCCTCAGTTCTCCAACAGGGCAGCTCTGCTCACAGACCTGACGGGATCACGTTCCCCCAATTACATCCAGTGGACAGAGGAGGCAGTGGCAGCGTTTCATGACATACAACAGTCACTAAGTAAGCAACCGGTTTTGTACAGTCCCAACTTTGATGAACCATTCATATTACAGACTGATGCTTCAGATCGGGGCCTGGGAGCTGTCCTCCTTCAGGAAACCATGGAAGGCCGCCATCCAGTGGCTTACATCAGCCGGAAACTGTTTCCACGGGAAGTTCGGTATTCCACAGTAGAGAAGGAGACCTTAGCGATCAAGTGGGCCCTGGACTCCTTCCGCTACTATCTACTGGGAAGAGACTTCACCTTGGAAACTGATCACAAAGCACTACAGTGGCTTGAGCAGATGAAGGACACAAATGGGCAAATTACCCGCTGGTACCTGGCCTTACAGCCATTCCGATTCACTGTCCACCACGTACCAGGCAAGGAGAACCTTACTGCTGACTATCTCTCTCGCTGTTCCAGCTCTGAAGAGGGGAGGTGTGTGATGGCATGCCACACATGGTAAGCTCCACACCTCATCACCCGTTGATTCACTTTAGTTTAATTTACAGTCACTACTTTAAAATATTCTATTTATTGTTCAATATCGTTTCTTTATTAAATGTATTCATTTTTCCATCACACCTTCCAATGTTTATATGGCGTGCACACATATTAACCTTGCAAGGTCAAAGTTCTGTTTTGTTATATTAATACATCTTTCTTTGTTTGAGTTACCTGGGGGTTGGTGTCTCCTCCTGTCTGGCAAAAGGTGTGGCAAAGGGCTGGGAGACCTGAAGTACTGCTGACAGCCTAATTGGATTGCACCACATGCTTCATTGCCTGGGGGGTGTTTCATGTTTGTTTAAATGTTTTGTATTAGTTGGTTATATGGCAGCCATCTTGTTTTCCCCCGTGTGTGTCATTTGGTTTAGCTAAACCAGTATTTAAGTCCCCCTGTGTGTCATTTCAGCAGGTCAGTTTACCATATGTTTGTTTGAGGTTTTGTTAATTATTATCTTGAGTTTAGTCTGTTGAGTTGACCTCTTTTATTGGTCTGCCTGTTTAAGTTTTGGCTTTGTTAAATATATTTTCATATTTTTGGGTCAATAAAACCCGTTTTTTGAATTAAAACCACCGGTGTCCTTTATGCTTTACTGCTTGGTCCCTGACAAGATGTGACATCCAAATATAACTTGGAGCCAGGACTTCAAAGCTTGTGCTTATCTGTCTTTAACCTCTTAAATCTGTGACTAATCCAGTCTAACTGTTAAACCATATATGTGAGCACATGCGAAAGGTCATTGTTAAGTTCCCGAAACAAGAAGTGGAATAAAAGTTATTCCTCTTTGGCTTCAAATCACCGACTCACAACACAGTCATCAATATGAAACACTCTCATCAAAGAATAACGAGTTGTCTGCTAAACAAGACGAGCTTCAGTGTTTTCGTGTATTTCTCAGCCTCTTAATAATATATAGAGAAACGGCTCAAGTCCTGAGCTCGTGGCTAACACACACATATGCCTCAACTGCCATGTGTATCGTGCTTACTGTCATCAGTCATTCACCGTGACAAAAGTCTGTGAGAAGAATCTGCAAGTCTGCATTTTTTTTCTGCCCCAGCAGATTGTAACTGTGGGTTTGTTTTACCTGCCCTGCTTTTCATCCATTTATTCATGCGAGCAACTGGCGAGCAGCGGGGCCGAGCGGGAGCCCAGAGCAGTGAGGTGTAAGGACGAGGATGAGGAAGTTGTTAAGAGTAACTGCTGCAAATATGTACAACTTTGAGGCATTTCATTTGAGCATTTATCAACTATCCTGGTGTACTCGGTGTACTGGGTTCCACGCTCAGTTTCTGACATGTATGAAAGCATTTGAAAGCAAGTGTGAGTATAAATATATGAAGCACAGCGTGTGAATTGTTCGTGGTTTCCCCAAAGAAACATTTTCACTTTTAAAATTCTCTCATAGTTTCACTTAAAAACCCTGTGATGCTGAAAATATTTCATTAAACAAAGATTTTATTTCAAATGTTCAACTGGTTTAGCAGAACTTTAGCTTTTCTATGCTAATAAAAGTGTGAAACGCTGAACTCAACTGTACACATAGACATAGACTTTATTAATCTCACACTGGGGAAATTAAGGCTATATTACAAAAATGTAAAAGTAAAAACAAATAAATCAATTTCTACTATTTACTGTTGCTAAATACAGTAATTTACTCAATTTAGAGATGTGTAGGTTGGATAATAATGACAGTTTCACTCAGTAAGAGGGGACAAGCTCATTTAACTCATTCATATAAGTCAGGGTAGTGTGTCAAAAATGCAGCTGCTGCTTTCTGGCTCACAGCGAGATACTTATTGAGAGGTTAGCTGAGTGTTGTCTGTGCTGGAGAATTATGAATAACATTGCAGTTTGTAAATGAGTTCAGCAAGCATTCCTCGCATCCACGTGGACAAATCTGACTACAGGCCAAAAGTGAAATGCAAGGAATACTCGTAAAAGTCTGTTATATAAAATCATCCGAGCACCATACAATCATGAGATTCATCCACAAACAAAGCATCAGTGTTGGTCATATGTTGGTTTATATTTGACTCTGGGGGTATGCCGTGTATGAGAACGTGATGCACACTACGTCTCTGTTCCATAAGGACTTCCGCTCT